AACGTTACACTAATATGTAAAACATATTGTAAAACATTCTGGGCGATCATCCAATCAGATTTAAAGCCCGCTATGCTTTATATGATTAATATATATTCAAAGTATATTTATTATATACTTTATAATTTAATCGGTCTAATATAATTATTTATTATTATATATATAGATTATTCTTCATAATGAATATTTTATTACCCAACAATGTGTATTTATTGAAGGTCAACTATATAGAAAAATCCAATAAAAAAAAAAATGAAATTGCTAAAAATCCAGTGAATAGGCATTCAAATGGTCACTGATATTTATGTCTAAAAATTATATTTTAACTATAGTTGTATTTGGTTTCTTACCGTAACTTTTAATAATTTGATTAGGAATATTTAAAAATTTAATTACTGTATATGTACACATGCCGCAATAGAAAAAAGCTCGTGTGCAGATGTTGCCAGAAGAAGTACTACACATGCTCTGTGAAGGTGCAACGTGCGAAGTTCCATATACACCTACATCCTTGCTTCTTCATATGTATTTATCCAATAAGAATCAAGATTTTTTGTGTAGGAACGTCATTTAATTTATAATACCACCATACACTTTGTGAAATTTCCAATATCACTCCCATTCTTGATATGTGTACAGAAATCGGTAAAGGTTTCGAACTGTTTTAAGTATAAAGTGGTGAATTTAACAGTATTCAACTAGTCCTAATTTGTAAGTGTGCTGAATTTTGCAAAAGAGTATATTACACGATGCAAAACATTAATAGTAGCCTGGGCGAAAATATAAAGGTAAAATAATTTTATCTCTAATGAAAATTCAATTTTTGAAATATAGACTTGACAGTTACATTATGGGAAATCTACAAGTATATTATGAAAAAAGTATCAAGACGGTGTTATAAATTACATGGGATGAAATTTATCCAGATATCTTTTGAAACATTCTAGTTGAATTTTATAATTGTACTTATAAAACCAGGTTATAAACCCGGGTCAACGGGTCAAACGGAAATTCATAAAGTTTTTGAACTGCCTGTATTCCAAATATTTAAACTGGAATTTTTGGAAATTTGTATTGAGATTATTTGATTTTGCTCGTGATTTGAGTTCGTTCATTTTTTATTTCGGGAAATACGTGACCCCTCAAGAAGCTGACCTGCATGGGCCCGGGTATATTTAGTAAATTATAATGTCATCTACCAATATAGTTAGATTAGGGTAAATTGCATATTGAATTCTGACACGTTTGACCCAGATTACCGGTAGAGCAGCTTTTGACCTATGTATGACCCATCGGGTTTGGTGACCAGTACGGATCATTCGACCCGGATAATAGCTCTGATTAAACGAATCTAAACCATATTAACAAAAATTTATGATGTAACACTTTACTAGTATTAAAATTATTTCTTATTATACTGATATTTTTATATTATAAAAAAAATAAAATAATTTCTTAAAGCATCAAATAAGTAGTTTAATAGGCTTGCCTATTTTTAGAGAAGTAAATGTAACAATATATCGTTGATGCTAACTATCAAATACTTCCTACCATCATTATCTGTTTATTCTCCTGCCTTTTTTTCTGTTGTCTCTTCTGTTTTTTTTCATGCTATTCTTCTGCCGAAGTCCAAATAAATTTGATGTCTTCTTTTTCAATAAAAAATTCACTTTCATAACTTTCATCACTTTTATCATCTTCTGCTTGTATTTCACTTTCAAAATTTGAATAGATTGGAGTTGATTCCCATTCTTTGGATTCATGTTTCCATGCTTTTGTAATTGATGGTTCATTATAAAAACATATGTACTTCACTCTTAATTTATCTTTAAGCTCGTTATCAAAATTACTCTTTCCTGAAGTAAAAGCAGACCTTTCAAGATTTGCATAATCATAAATTAAACGACTTTGAAAAGTGAGGACAGCACATTTTCCATCTTTATCAGCATTCTCAAACGCTGCACTTTTAATGAGTTTAGAAATTATTATTAATAATTTCAATTAAGTAATTTTTTTCATAGAATACAATATAACTAATATATTATATAAACATACCTCATAAATGAAACAATAACATTTTGTAATATAATAACAAAAACGATATTACCAATCACGCTAATTATGAGAAGAGGCCAAAATCCCCAAACATCTAATGAAATTGAATCCCAATTATATGCAGCAATTATAGCAGTAAAAGGGTTTGTAAATATATCTTCTGGTTCTTCTTCAGTCATATTATAGATTATAGTACTTCCATTAAAAACCTCGAATGATTCTGGAGATTCACTTAATCCAATGTATGATGCATAGCCAAGAAAAATAAATCTGCATGCAAGTATACATAAAAATGTATAAATTAATACAAATTTTAAAAAACTTTACATAGTATTTTTAATTGATACGCAATAAACTTACAATGCATGTCCCTAAAAAGGAAAGTAGAATAAATTGTATATAAGTAATTATATATAATATTGAAACGATAAGACAGTAATACATGTAATATTTTAATTTGAATCTACCATTGCAATTACTGCTAAAGCAAAAAATAATAAAAATGACCGTATATCAATAACAATTTTGTAGAGTATATTTAGATAATGTGCAAAGCCTAAGTAATATATAAATACACATATATGTGAGCTTATGCAAATTTAAAGATATAATTAATATGCGCAACATATACCTGGAAAGATACGTAATAATAAAATCTAAAATAAAAATATAGTAAACAATAAGAAATTTTATATATTGTAAATAAGTAGGAAGGAATAAAAGTATATACTTACAAGTTCATACCAAATACCTATAATACTTATAAAAATTAAAAACGACAAATATATGTCACTTTTAGCATATTTAAACCCATCTTCAAAATTATAATAATTAAACAAAATATAAACTGAAATAGAAACTGTCAATAAAAGTGTAAACAGATCTACCCAATTAAAATGATCTTTAAAATATTTCACCAATGTTTTTTTGTGCCGCACTTGGTTTAATTCAACTATTAAATGATAATAAGCTAAACAAAAAAATAGTATAATAATTGCAACCACCAGAATTCTTTGAAAATCACCGGTAACTTGAATGTGTGCAATATACATCCAAGAAATAATCGAATAAGATAAAAAGTATATTATAAAAATGTATAATGATTTGAGCCAATGTGATTTGGATGAATACCACATAAAATTCATAATGGCTTCTGTGGATGGGTTAAAGTAGAAAGGATCAATATGATCATATTCAACATTATCTATAAGTGAAAGAAAAGGAATAGTGCATTCTTCTTGAGGTAAATAGTTATTAGGAAGGACTATAGATTTTAGAATATTCATAAATTCGTTTCCTTTTACTTCCAGTGATTTACTATTCGTTACAAAATCAATTAAGGGTACCATTTGAACATCAGGAATCTTATCATGGCTATGTTTAATTTCATAGAATTAATAATAAAACAAGAATAAAGCAGAGGATATCATTTCAGGAAAATTACCTGATTTCTTCTACTTTCAAAACAGAATCCTGTGGAACCAATTGTGTTATAGGTATAAAAACTTCTAAATAATTATCTGTGCTTGGTGGGATTACAAGAAAGTCAAAAAAGGGTATATCCAATCCTTTTCCACAAAAGCAACGTTTATAAATAATAGTTGATTCGACTTATAAAACTCTATATGAAAAAAGGAGATAATTTACATGTTGATTAAGTGAGAAAGTTGTAACTAACCATTCTTATTCCCATCATTTTTATTCTTTTTATAAAGCTCTGGTAAAATTTCACCAACTGTGGTCATCCATTGACTGCTTTATTAGAATAATATTCTAATAAATATCCTAGATATAT